GTGCGAGTGTGAGTGTGTGTGTCCGAGTGAGGAAGCAAGACTGTGAATTGGTGTTAGAATGTGTGCGTGTATGCATCTGTACTGTGGGCCTTTCCAGTGTTAATGCAATCATCAAGAGTGCAACAGACGGACTGAGACAAAGTGTTCAGAGTAGAGAGTCGGGGAAGGTTGAGGGTTTTTTGTTTTGTTTTTTTGGTTCTTTTGTTTTTTCCATTTTGGCTGTATTCCCAGATTGGTTAACAGCTGGGCTTGTAGAGAGGATGTCTTTTCTTGGACCGGGCCCGAGCCAAACCAACCTGTGACCTGAACCGAAACCAGTAGTTGTTGTTGTGGAAAGCGAGGGGTTTGCCGGACAGACGGGGATTGATTGTCAAAAAGAGAGCAATTATTTTTTTAAATGAGATAATTGAAGGGGAGGGGTATTTTTAGCCTTGCCGTTTCATGTTGTAAAGTAAAAACTGGGAGTGTTTTTTTTTTTGTTTTGTTTTGGTTTTTTTTGTGTCCTCCTCCTTCTTCCTCGGAGCGCCACGCCGCTGCCGTTACTAAGTCCAACTCTTGCATCACTCTTTTGAGTTCTACTGTTAAGTGTTTTTATTTATTACAGGGCTGCTATTTTTCATAAATGAACAATTTAAACAACAAAACCTATTTAACAGGAGCCCAACGACTTGTTTCCTCTCTTGCTTTTTTTTCCCCCCAGTGTTTGAACAGATTGGCCACACATCCCAGACAACAGCTTTATATATTTGTGAAATGCCGACAAACAGAGAAAAATTCTGACAAATGTTTAACACTAACCCAGATTTTTAAGGCTGCAACTGCCAATTCGTAGCTCAAGTCCTGATCCAGTTTGAGTGTATATTTTTGTATAGCATGATGGACTTTTACCCACCGATATCAAATCTTAAGGCCTCCGGTGAAAATTTGATAGGCAAAGGTGAATTAGTATTGCCACGTCCCCTCACTCACTCACATTTTAGTTCTCCATTGGTTTTCCTGAAGCGGGGTAGGTGGGTGCACGGGGCACGGGCACGGTGGCAGTAGTGAAATCACGTACTTTGTAACCAAAGATCCAAAGCTGTGTAAATTTATTTTGAAATGCACACACACCTTTTTCTTTCTTTTTTTTTCCCTTGGTTCTCATTTGTTACTTCCTCCTTCACAGAATATTTTTGTTGCTGTTCAGCATGTTCTGCATGATCTGTAATCTTCAAACCACTTTCTTACCTCATTTTTATTCAGCACTCTTATTGTAAGATAGTCTGTGAACAGTGTAAATGGGGACGTGGGAGAGGGTGGGATGGGAGGGGGGGAGGGTAATGATGCGCAACAGCGAGCGGAGTAAAATAACCTAGTGTTACCGACACTAGTCACAGCAAAATGAAGTGAGCCATGTTTTGTTCGTTTAAATGGTGTTTGAATTTCATATGCCAATAGTTTTGTTACATTGCAAAATTTTAATGTATTTAAATAAAAGCAATATTCAGATTCCAAACGTGTCTCACCTTTTTGTTCAAAAGTTTAGTGTTTCTGTGTTTGTGTGAATAAACAATCTTTTGAATGTGTCCCCAAGTGCAGTCACAAAAACCATCAAGCGCTACGATGAAACTGGCTCACACAAGGACCTACCAGGAGAGGAAGACCAAGAATCACCTCTGCTGCTGAGGATGCATTCATCTGGGTCACCAGCCTCACAAATCGCAAGTTAACAGCACCTCAGATTAAAGCCCAGATAAATGCCACACAAAGTTCTAGTAGCAGACACATCTGTACATCAGCTGTTCAGAGGAGACCGAGTGAATCAATTCAATTTTATTTATATAGCGCCAAATCACAACAACAGTTGCCTCAAGGCGCTTTATATTGTACAGTAGATCATACAATAATAGATTCAGAGAAAACCCAACAATCATATGACCCCCTATGAGCAAGCACTTTGGTGACAGTGGGAAGGAAAAACTCCCTTTTAACAGGAAGAAACCTCCGGCAGA